TCATTATTATTATTATTATCATTATTATTATTATTATTATTATAAAAGGCTAAGAATTTTCTTAAATAAATATTGTTTAAATTCTTTTAGAATCTGACTGGTTGAAAATGTTGAAAATGATTTTATTTTTATTAAAGCACTCTTTGTATCATTATTTTCCCAGATCAAAGTGTTCTATGATCATCCACTGTTAAGGAAGGTTCTGGAAAGGAAACTTAAAGTCCACAAGGACAAAACATTAAGTGAAGCAGTCTGCATAGCAAGTAAAGTAAGGACATGAAAACCAAGCTAAATTTTAGTTACTGACTTTGTTTTATTTATTGGATGTAGAGTGCTAGCGCTCATTCTGTCACAATGGTGCTACAGTAATTTTATTTTGCCCTAAACATTGTAGTACGAAACAGTGACATGTCTATTGACAATTTTGTTATGTGTTATTAGTGCTGTTTAGTACGAATTAGTACTAATTAATCTAGTACTGTTTCACAGATATAGTGCATTGCTTAAAGTAACAGCTGGTCATGGGACACTGTTTGACAAGACCTGAAACTTGTCTGGTGAAATTGTTGCCTTGCCGGTCATTTTGACCGGTAATCTTTAAGCTAGAAATTTGACCAAGCTAAAACTAACTTGGCCAGTAATTGTGACTGGCAACTGTCCAGCCGTTATCTTAAGTCCTGTAATGGTTGCACTCTAGTTGGTGTACATATACATTTACAATGTAGTTAAAATGACAACCTTTCTCTAGTTGTTTTCAGTTGATTTTGAATATCCTAAAGAACAGTGTAGACTGGTGAAATACGATGAATATCATGAAGCCATAGAGAAGTCCTTCGAGGGTGAAGAGGTAAACTATCAAATAAATTCCCATTCACATTATTCTATTCATTTTTTCCCATTTATTTAGTTATTCATCTTTTTCTTCTATTCAAGGACACACCAATGGGCGTTCTCTTAGGAGGAGTAAAGTCTTCCTACATGCTTGAACTCTTATTAGAAACAAGAAAACCTGATGAAACCTTTCCTGTATATAAACCTGGAGGTAACCACCCTCAGTGCTCATAGTGTTCTCTTTAGTAAGGGTTGTATGTGCTAACAATGTGTTCATGAATCTACAGGAATAACATTGAAGGTCCATAATGTTGACCTAGAAGATGAAAAGGTACATCCTGTAGTTAATGTTCGAGTGTACATGAATAGCACGTTAAAGGAAATCAAGGAAACTATAGGAAAGGTAAGAAATGCAAGAGGCAACAAGGAAATCTTTGA